AAAAAAAAAAAAAAAAAAAAGAGTCAGACAGTGCTGCATCCAGAGGGGCGCATTGTTTGATAATCAAATGACGGGATCTGCATTAGTCTCTGTGAATTTCGTCTGAGATCCAAGAGGTAGCGGTTCTTTAACCACTCATGTTTACTCAGAAATCCGATACATCTGAAGGAACAGTAACAGAGTCTCCGTCAGAGTCAATATCGCTGTCTTCTTCCTCAGCAGCCCCCTTGCATCGCAGCGATACGAGACAAGTCCCACTTCAAAACAACTCAAATGACCGCAGTGGCTGATTCTCTGGGTTAGTCGTCTTGATCTTGAAGATAAACACAGAGCGGATCAGTTGTCCGGACTCCACATGCCAGAGGCGAATACCGTCACCTAGTCCCTTGATCCACTGTTGGAGTTGGTTGGGGAGGCACTGGTTTGGAAGATTCTGGTTTGGGTGACTTGGGATCGGCTGGGGCTGGATGATCCAGCTCGGGCCTGCGTAGTTCAGGTATCGGTGACTCTTGAATTGGCGATGCTGAACTCGGCGACGAGGCTCGAATTTGAGTGATTCTGGCTTGGGTGACTCTGGCATCGTTGACGCTGGTAACAGCGACGCGGCGCTTGTTCGAAAGGCTCGAGAACTGGGTGTTCAGGCTTGGGTGGTTCATTATCAGTATCATCGGCGACGACCAGAGTAACGGGGAATTATATTACGTTCAAGGCAGAGCCACACGAGCCGTGGAAATGTAGAGAATGTTCTGATTGGAAAATAATCGGCCGCTTTGAGGGAACAGAGAGAAAGAGAGAAATAGAGAGGGATCCTGAACAGGCACCCCGGGGCATAAGTCTCGACGCTCTTTCAATAAGGCTCACTCAAATGTATTGAAATCAAGAGCATTGCCATTGCACCAGTTCCCCATTCCAGTTGTGTCTCCTTCTTCTGCTCTCCATCCTCCACCTCACATCATAGATGTGTTGTAATGCCACGATCGCCATGGACCCGGTACTTGGTCACCGCTTTGCCGGTCCTTGCTCTTCAGTTTCTTCGTGGTGGCGGTATGTGGGACCAGAGGAAGATGGGAAATTAGACCGGAGAGCACAGTCAGTGGGCGAAGATATGAGTGGGTCAAGAGAAAAGAAGTGTCAGCAGTGTTCTCACGTAGTGTCAGGGTCGATACTTGCAGTAGTAGTCTACGGTCAAGCCAAATACTGTTGGGAACAGCACTCACGGCAGCAGCAGAATGTCCCCAGTTCCTCCATATAGAAACATAATCGGGCCGAACTCGCATTTTGTGAGAAAGGAAGAAGTGGGTAGGTAGTCGAGCTTGCGTTGGCTTCACCGAAAGGCTACTGGTCAACAGCACCACGTAGAGGTCCAAGCTCGAGGCTGTTGGATCTTCTGGGACTGCTTTTGGCGTCCCAGAAGACCCCGGCCATTATGGACGGCCGGTATCCATATCCAGGTAGTCAGACTCCGCAACCATCACTCCACAAATCCACTGAATTCGGTGTCCTCCAACACCAAATCCCGCAACTTTGAGGGCGAAATAGACTGAGACCGAGCGGGGGATCGGAAGGGCGTATTTTCCTTAGAAGTACGCCCCTCTTTCACGGGCGAAATAGACCGAGACCGAGTGGGAGATCGGAAGGGCGTGTTTTCCTTAGAAGTACGCCCCTCTTTCACGGGCGAAATAGACCGAGACCGAGTGGGAGATCGGAAGGGCGTATATTCCTTAGAAGTACGCTCCTCTTTCACGGGCGATCGTGAGCCTGAAGTAACAGCAACAGAGTCTCCGTCAGAGTCAATATCGCTGTCTTCTTCCTCAGCAGCCCCTTGCATCGCAGCGATACGAGACAAGTTCCACTTCAGACTCATCAATTCCCATGAGGGCAATGGTCTTTTTTCTGCGCTAGTCGTCGTGATGCTGAAGATAAACCCAGAGCAAACAAGCTGCTTGTTCTCCAATTCCCAGAGTCGATGTCTGTCAGATGGGCCTTCAAACCATCCTTGACGTTGAGTTGGGTATGGGTGCGCGAAAATGGATACGTCTTCACTTCGCTTCTGCGTTTGATCACACAGAGGCAGCCAGTGAAAAGCGAGGTCCATTACAGTCTTATCCTCATTCATCCACACAGGGCGAAAAGCAATCATTGCACGATCCCACCACTGGTGTACTTGGACACTCAGTGTGATAAAATTGGATACGTACTCTGCGTTCACCCTGTTGTCGTTTCCGAGGATCTCAGACTTCAAAGCCGCTACTTGCTCTGGGCCGAAGAACATTTTTAATGTACTCCACATCTCCGATTTAATCTCCCCGCGGTTCAGCTTGCTCGGCAGAATATGTGCCGATTGGAGAGTTGGTTGGCCCATCTTCGTCACGACACACATGTCACTGTCCCGCTGTAGGCTCTAATAGATTATAATGTTAGCGCCATATCCTTTCGATACTGTGGATCTTGAAAAACATACAGCACTCTTGCAACTTGCAGTGTCTAGCACCGACACCACTGCAACAGGTCTGGAAGGACCAGCGACAGTATTCGGTACACTGGTTGGAAGCGGAACGAGTGGCGGGGAGATGATCTCTTTCCTCAGCGGACTTCGCTGGCGCACTGGGATCTTTCCTTTGCTGGGAGACCCGGAACGAGATCTCACAGAAGCGGAAGCTGACGCAGTGCCTTGAGTAGCCCGCGAAGCAGGCTTGGATTGCGGTCCTGTTTTCGTCGAAGCCCCTGGTTTGTGCAGAAATGGTTAGTATACGTTTCTGAGCGAAGACTTGTGTGTACTTACAGACACCAGCTATGTCGGGGGCAGGCAGTCTCAATAATAGGTTCAGGCTTGTGATATCTGAGTCATCACGCGGTGATGCGTGTTTCCTCAGCATCTCAATATTGGCGAACCACAGGAAAAAGAAATTTCCGCGAGGGATTTCACAGAGACTTGGGTCCTGTTCAACAATGCGCCGAATCAGGTCCTGACGCTCCGGATCGTCCAACTCGGAAAAAACGTGCTTGTTATCAACACTAAGACGCGACATCATGAGAATATCAGGACAGAGGTCACAAATTCTGATGAGTAGCTAATGAGTGGGTATGAGAGGCACGTTGGAGAGAAAAGAAAACAACGTGGGGTGAGAACTGGGGATATATGGATCCACACCTGCAGCCCTACGAGATGACTCATCCACTATCTAAGCTAGGCAGCCGACCCTGACAGAACCTAATTTCCCTCTTACTTTAACCTAATAATGACTCACTTACAATGAGTTCTAAGGATTCGAATAGACTATTACTTCGAGGCAAAGATGGGTCGCAACTCTAGCCGCTAGAGTTTGGCACCGGTGACGCTGGTCTAGGCGACGCTGGCGCTAGTATTCTACATTTCGCCTGTAATCTTAATTAAGGATTAATTCAGATAATAACCGATGCGTCGTGACGAAGATGGGCCAACCACCCTTCCTCGAAAGTGAGAAGATATCTTTCCGACACCCTAAGCTCGTCCTTTGGCGAAGAGAACCGTGTCGCTTTGATGTCTCAGACCTTCGCCCGCGACAGCAACATAAACACGGAGCATGTTTTCAACTGTCTCATACAGTCGGTTCAAGTAGAATCATGTTGGGATCTTACAATTTGTGCTTTTCGTCCTATTTCGATCAATGACAAGAAGATCTACGTGATGCACAGAAGCGAACTGCCAAGGTTCCTATTCTAGCGCAGCTAGACCCAAACCAGTGCCTCCCAAACCCAGACCATCTGCGCGAAATCCACCGCCACCAATGCACTCCACAGCAACGAGGGGGAAACACAGACTCAGCTACAAACGAATCATTGAACAGACGAAGGATATATTCCTTACAATAAATATCAGAACATGGCGCTTCGATGATATCGTGACAGAAAGACTCCATGCACGCCACACACTTGTGACTCGTCGGAACAGATAGCAGATGCCAGATGGCTGTGTTCTCGCGGTGTCTTTTGAGGACTCGCTCTGGCCTGCGTCAGCTGGTGTACCTGCAGCATAAGATTGTGTGTATTCAATGTCCATCTCGCTCTGCGGTGCAAGTAATACCTCTGCGCCAGAGGAGGAGAGGGGGGGGAAGGGGGGTTGGCTTGAAGACGTTTTTTCAATGTCTCCAGCACCCAGTACCCAGTCCATCCGTGTTTGAGCAGCTCCCCCTCTAGATAGACAAAGGCTTTTTGAATGGCTTCGGATTTGCTTGATGGGTATTCTGAGCATAGTGTGCTCAATTCAGCAACCCGCTACGTTGCCAAATTCATGCACCAAACCGGTCTTCTTGCTCAGTTTCAACATGCTGACCAAGAAGAGTCCGAGGACGAACCAGAAAAGACCACGAGGTCATGGAGCAGAGTCCCGAAGACGCTGGGCACTCACCAACGCTTGCCAACACCGTCGAGGGTGGAGAGGAACTCGATGAGCTATTCGAATACACACTGCCTGACTGGGCAACGAACAATAATGAACAGCAATTGAGGCTGAAGTGAGGATGTCGGAGAACGGGGTTTGATCTGCGGCAGTACGAGCTGGCTGGGATCTTGATGCGGAAGCGTGTACATGTCTCGTGAGAAGAGGACAGGGACAGAGGAGGTGGAGGTGCATCCACGCGCTCATTTTGTATTCAATGCATCACTGGCATTGAATTTTCATTTGTACTGCGGGTTTTATGGGTTTTATGGGTTTGGCTTACATGTAGTGGGCTGGTGCTTCTACTCTTTGAGAACCAGCCTCACCTTTGTACTGGAGCATGATCAGGCGTACGGACACGAGTTCTTGCTTCAACCGGATAGAAGCGCCTGCATAGCCATTACGATACTAGTTAGACTCCAACAGGTTAATAGAACTTTGATTGATTGATTAATTGACTGATTGATTGTGTGCTCAATTCAATCTGACCATGGTTTGGGAGCCAGGGTGCCTTGATCAACACATTGAGAAGCGTAAGGGAGGTGCTCAAGGAATAATCGTAGGGGCAGAGAGATGTGCGCTCTCCGCTCAGAAACGGGCGTTTAATTGTGCCGAAGGTGATCACTTCTCATGAAAAGGCGATCTTGAAAGGTGACGATGAGTCCTATATTACTTCGAGGCAAAGATTGGGTCGTGACTCTGGCCGCTGGAGTTTGGCATCGGTGACGCTGGCCTAGGCGACGCTGGCGCTAGTATTCTATATTTCGCCTGTAATTACCTAAATCGCCACAGATAAGCCTGCAGTATTCGGTAATGACGTGTCCCGATTCTTACCTTGGCAGATCAAATAAGTACTTCTGTTTCAAACCTTTCCGGTTATCTTAGTTTCCTGTGACGACCGTGGCTGAAGGTTCGGGTGTCTCAGACTATTCCGAATCAGGGCCGTGTTGTGTAGAATGTTCACTCCCTTCCAAGGTTCAAAAATAATAGCGAAAAAAAAACAACTGTAGATGACTAGTAGTCTAGAAGGAATACAGATCTGAAACCGAGAATTAAGGGGATCCAGTCAGGGGGTCGTTCCTTGTGGCGTCAGCTGCATGTACGGGCGACGACTCGGAACTATGATCAGAAACACATCGACCGAAATAACTTATATCTCCGATGATGTACGGAGCGTCCACACTTTAATCGGGAAAAGAACTGCAGGGCCGAGTGACAGTGAATGAGAAGCGTATCACGAGGCGTTCTCCGGCGGCGCTTGGAAGCTTCTCGTACTCACATTCCTTCCAATTTCAAATATGGCCAGAACTTTGATGAGGGCTCGGCTTCATTCCCTCGGCATTTTGCATTGATTCATTCCTGATCCTTCAATTTGCTATAGCGCTCGCATTAATTCATAACATATACCCTTGGCCGTTCTAGGCCACATGAAAGAAATTCCTTCATGCTTTTCAAGGACATTGTTTGTTTCATTGAATTTAGTGGCTGATGGCAATTTCAAGTCTTTATTTGGCCTTGGATGCAATTCGAAATCCGCAGCTCTTGTTGCTTTTGTCGGCTTTCGAGGTCTTTATTCCTATTGTTCGTCAGTGGACCCCTGTCAGGCTGGTAATTATCTGATCTCGCATCTATAAAATGCGGATTTCTCCCTGTAGATAACATTCTTCATCGTTGTGGTATTTACCATTCTACCGCAGCATCCACTACAGCACTGAATTATTTTGATCGAGCTTCTACAGCCACATTATACCCACAAGGGCACGCAATCATGCATGGGATCTTTTCTACCATCGCCACGGTCTTCACCTTGGTGTCGGCCGTTCAATCTGTCGCTGTCTTAGTGCCTCTATACACCTGGCCCGGCACAGATTCCTGGCAACCGGTCTATGACTCACTGGAGGCCCATCCATACACTACATTTTATCTCATCGTCAACCCACAAAGCGGACCAGGGAGCACAGAGTTCCCCCAAAATATCTTTATCACAGCCTTTGCAAAGCTGAAAAGCTACAGCAACGCCAAACTCCTAGGCTACATTTCGACAGTATATGGCAACAGGGCCATTGCAGATGTCGAGAGAGAAGTCTCCGTCTACTCCAATTGGGCCTCCTACCAAGGAAAAAATATCGCCGTCGACGGAATCTTCTTCGATGAAGGATCGAACGGACAGGACACTACCAAGCTCGCGTACTACCAGCAGGTCTCAAAGACTGCCAAGAATAGCAACCTGAACATCGTCGTCTTTAACCCAGGTGCTAAGATTATGGCTGATACCCCGGAATGGTTTGCTGCTGCTGACTTTATTGTTGAGTATGAGAACACTTGGGCCAACTGGGTCTCTTTGGCCCCCGCTGAGCATTTTTCGGACATGGAGTACTACCACAAGATCGCCATCATGTTAACGGGGACTCCTGGGGTTGCTAGCATTACCGATGTCGCTCTATTGGCAACCAGTATGGGCCTCGGTGCTATCTATCTGACTTATGACAATGACTACATGACTGACCAGTCTGTACTTTCTGTGTCAAAGGTTGCTGTCGGTGTTGATATGGTCCCTCCACGAGTTGGAGTCCCCCAGCCAGCTGGGCACCGCCGAGAGGCTCACTAGTTTCAGGGGTTCTTCGGTTTCTTTTTCCTTGTCTTTTCTTGTTATTTCATGTTGTTAAAAATACAATATACAAGTTCAAAAGCGTCCACATCTCCATGTAGTTTACTATTATGATTCCAATGTAGAAAAGGTTCTAGTGAACTGACTTTCTTAAAGTTTATGTAGAGATAGCCGCCATGTTAGGACATTCTAGTTCAAACACTGTAACCCAAATACCAGTATCCCTCAGTCCAACCCCTTAGCCCCGTCCTTGTAAGGCCGTAGATCATACTCATCAGGATAAGTCTCCAGAATCCGCTTCAGCTCCGACATTTGCTCACGCTGCTCTTCAGTAATCTCCTCATAAACATCCCTAAAAGCCTCCCTCAAAGGCGGCTTCTTCTCACGCTCAGCCTCTCCAAACTCCTTAAGCACAGCCTTGCGCATCTCATCCCGCGTCTCCTTCTCTTTTTCTTCATTCCAGAGTCCCTGGTTCTCAAGCCACTTCCGCAGCCGAATAATGGGATTATCGCGACGCTTCCAGTCCTCGACTTCAACACGGGCACGGTATGCAAAGCTATCATCCGAGGTACTGTGGTGCGAGACACGGTAGCTCATGGCTTCGATGAGCACCGGACGTCCTCCATCGCTGAGAGCTAGACGGCGTGCTTCTTTCATTGCTTCATGTACGGCAAAGACGTCATTGCCGTCCACTCGGATCGTGTCGATTCCGTATCCTACGCCTCGACTTGCGATTCCATCGCCCCGGTACTGCTCCAATGTTGGGGTTGAGATTGCGTAGCCGTTGTTCCGGCATAGGAAGACTACCGGGCATGATCTTGTTGCGGCGATGTTGAGTGCGGCGTGGAAGTCTCCTTCACTGGCGGCGCCTTCGCCAAAGTAACAGGCCACGATGCGTGGATCCCGGTTGGGGTTTTGGAGATCTTGGAGTTTTAGAGCGTAGGCTGCGCCTGCGGCTTGGGGAATTTGGGTTGCTAGAGGTGATGAAATCGTATGCTATGGGTTTGCCCAGGCGAGTTAGCTGAGATACATAATATTGTATCAAAGGGGCGGTACGAACCATGCGAGGGTAGTTTTGTCCATAATGGACGGGCATGTTCCGGCCCCGTCCTGTGTCATTGCAATTGGCGAACAATTGACTCATGAAATTCTTTAATGTAAATCCCCGTTGCTGGAATACTCCTGCTTCACGGTATTGTGCGAACACCACATCGTCTGGTGTTAAGGCGGCGGCAGATCCCACGGTGATACCTTCTTCGCCGGCGGAAACCTGCATATATTTGTTAGACAAGTCATATTCCCTTGTAGAATATTCCAACTTACCATATAGAAGCTCAGTCGACCCTGCCGTTGTGCCTCGAACATGACCACATCCATGACGCTAACTACGAAGAAGTCAGTCCCTTGATTCCGCGGTAACTGAACACCATACTAACCAGACAGCATATTTTTGTACCACGTCAATACTTCCTCATCGGTAACATCAGGTGCCGGTCTTGTCTTATCGACCAATTCGCCATCCGAGTCCAACACTCGGTAGGTAGGGATAGCGGGCAGATCCGAGGCTTTGAGGAAGGTCATGTCGGTGGTAAACTTGCTATTAACCGCGCCGGGAAAGCGAACACTGCAAACAGACGTTCCAATTAGCTCTTTCCTATACCAAAATACCAAATTTCGAAAGTCCCCTCACCTGTCCGACCCAGGCCGCTGCGAGATAGAGCTACCCCATCTCCGTGCGGGGGAGGTGTGTGCTGTAGCTGCAATCTGGCTGCGAACAAGCCCGCTCCGGGCTAGAAGTTTCATAGACATCTTTGAATGCCGTGATATTAACATGATGGAACTTTTTTGTTGTATGAAAGGGGGGAATGCGGGATGTAGTCGGTCTTGAATGTCTGGGGCAGATGCGGAGAGACTCGGTTGGCCGCGGGAGTGACGCCAATGCCGACGCCAACCGAGTCTTTGAATTCGCGGGGGAGTTTTGATCTCGGTATAAGTTAGGAGATGGACAACAACATGGAGCAGCTTGGTCTGAGTGTAGAGCGAAACTAACGTCTAACCTTATCTGCTATCTGCTTTTACTTTACTGATATAACGTTATCTATAATGTTCAGGCTATATGTCCTCTTTGCCGAACATACCCTTCGTCATACCTGCAACTTAACAATCCCTGTCGATAGTAATTAAATGCCTATTAAATCATTTTATTAATTGTAGGGCTTATATTTATTCATTCAAATCTTAGTTGGGGGAAGGGGCTACACATGGTGCTGCATTGGTCCGATTTAGGCTCTTCAAGGAACAGAAGCATTGGATAAATCGTGTTCAAAACCTGAATAATTTTTATTGGAAATATGCAAGACACTAGAGCTATCTTGATAGGAAGATATGGACACCACATGGTACTATGGGATGGGTTATCTATTGTCGCTTTTGGTAGCGTTGGACAAATTTGAAGCTCAGGCACAATGGCAATGAAAGGGTAAAAGACCCTGAAATTATCCTGTGGCGTCGAGGGATCCATGGATGTAATCAAAAGATCGTACCTGAGAGAAATCCAAAAAAGAAACTGGAGAATGTTCGTTCGTCATCATCCTATGACGGCAGATCTCCACTATATTTCCCTGCTGGACCCTATGACATAGCCGCAAAATGCTTCACCCCCAACGGTCAATGGCCAATATATCTCTGTCTTAATGTCTACACCCTTTCAAAACGTATAGAGACATACATCAAACACCATGCTTGACACCGAAAACATCCAGAAGGTATTAAATACCGATATCAGCACTCCCATCCCAGAGCCCATGGTCACCAAGATCACATCCCTACCACCATTCATCGATATACCAGGTGTCCAAAACTTCCGTGACCTGAGCCATGACGATAACAAGTTGCGTCCGGGCTATGTATACCGATCCGGTAACCTGTCAGATGTAATGGACTCCGGAAAGGCCATAATTGCCAGCGAACTAGGCATCACCACCATCTTCGACCTGCGAAACGAAGGCGAGCGACTAAAGGCCCCGCCCCCTTCGCTTCCCGGAGTGGACACGATATGGGTGCCATATGGTGCGCGACCAGCTACTTTGAATCTGCGGGACTTCGTCGGTGAAGACAAGGGCGCGACAGGATTCGTGAAGATGTACTCTGGGATCCTTGAAGCTGCAGTTCCAGGGTTCACTGAGGTCTTCAAGCATATCCGAGACAATCCCAATGACCCCTTCATCTTTCATTGTTCTGGTAAGTGCCTGTGCTTCGTTGTGTTCGATTTGTGTGCTTGCTTGTCCTCGGTTTGATGTGATAGGTGCTGACCGCACCTCTTCTCTACAGCTGGTAAAGACCGCACAGGTGTGCTCTCTTCTCTCATCTTACTTTTGATCGGTCGGCCCCACGAAGAGATCATCAACGATTATATCCTCACTCGAGTCGGGTTGGAAAGTGCACGCAAGAATCTCATGGAGGCATTCGCCCTGAACATGGATTCTGACGAAGTAGACATCAGCCAATTGAGCCCCGAGGCTCTTGGTATGCTCGAATTGTGTGGTGTCCGGGCCTCTGTAATGGAAGCCTTCTTGAATTCCTTCGAGAATCAGTATGAGAAGGGCGTGGAGGGGTATCTGACGAGGAGACTTGGATTTTCGGCAAACGATGTATCGACGATGCGCAAGAACCTCACAGCGGTTTAAGGGAACATTGTCGGATGTAAATAGAAAGACATTTGTATACTAGATCTCACAGCATGGGGTGCATTTTAAACTAAACCAAATACACGAGGTTACGTTGTCAATACTTTACCATTTAGCACTACTTGGAATCAAGGGGTAGAATTCACATAGCGGTCAATACGATCTTATAAATCACATACGGAGTAGGATAAATGGCCTCTGCCCTGTATCTCCATGACCCGATGAAACAAGCATTCACCCGGCCGCTATAGTTCCACGACCCCTCTCGACCTCCGCATAGTTCCTCCACCATCACTGCAGATCATCGCGTCCGCCCGCCGCCCAGTCCATTCTTGGAGATTTGGGACTTTATCCCCGGTTACTCGCAACTCACCACTGCTACCGTTGCTTTCCCCCGCTTGCGAGAGGGGCGTAGCTGCAATCAAGTCCATACTTCTGGTGTCGGCAAGTCCCTAGACCACACACCACACACCCTGTCACTTCATTTAACCGGAGTGACCGGAAAAATGTACTGGTGGGTCTCGTCTGCTTTTGAATGCGATATTTTACCGTTTGTTGATCGGCGACAAATGATAAATTGGTTGCTTTCCCCCGGATCTTTAGCGGAGCGTTTCGGTAATTTGCTTGTGCAGTTTACTTGGACTTTTAGTGCCGTAATGCATCTCTGGAAGCAGCTCGTGCTAGCTGCGCTTCCATGTCTCCCACCTGCTTTAGGACAGAGTGTTTTGGATCTTAGCGGCGATGGATGGACGGTTAGTAGCAAGGCGCTGAATATTAGCGTTCCTGGCCGTGTTCCTTCGCAAGCACATTTAGATCTATTTGCTGCTGGTGCTATTGGTATGTTTACCTCGAGTCAACTTGTGAATCAGGAGTCTAATAAAAGTCATACACAGATGATCCGTTAGTTTGTCTTGTGTCACTTCTTATTCGTCTCAAGCTAACATGGATTACTTCAAAGTTATTATGGGCTGAACGACTTCAATCTGCGTTGGATTGGTAACAACAATTGGACTTATACAAGCAAACCAATCCAAGGCTTGTATGTACTGCTCGCAATGTTCTGGTATTCTGGCTAACTATTCGCAGGTCAAATAAGTCCAAGTCGTCTTGGCTTGTATTCAACGGACTAGACACCTTCACAACAATCGAATTTTGCGGTCAATTCATTGGCACCACCGATAACCAGTTCCGTCAATACGCCTTCGATATCTCCAATGTTTTGAGTAAATGCAAAGGCTCGCCAACTGTGTCTCTTAACTTTGGAAGCGCCATCAAGATTGCCAATGAGATTGCTGCCCAGCCCGATGCTCCAGGTGAGTGCCCCAAGGGCCACCTGAAGTTCATTCTCTAAATCCTATTCAGAATGGCCCGCCGGAGTTCAAGGAACGTTTGAGTTCCCAAACCGCTGGTTCATCCGCAAAGAACAATCCGACTTTGGCTGGGATTGGGGCCCAGCCTTCTCACCAGCTGGACCATGGCAAAATGCTTACCTCGTACAGTTCGAACGCGAGGAAGGTGCATATGTTCTCAATACCGACCTTGACATCTATCGAAAGAATCAGATCAACCATATTGCGCCCGATCAGAGCCAGCCGTGGGTTGTAAATGCCAGTATCGACTATCTCGGCTCTCTTCCGAGTAAACCGTCCATGGCCATTGAGATCAAGGAGCTTGAGTCGGGCAAGGTACTGAAGTCCGGATCACTGGACAATGTCGTCGTAACTGGACAGACTATCACCGGTAACACCATGGTCGACGCAGATGCAGCCAACCTCTGGTGGCCTACAGGCCTAGGCAAGCAAAACCTGTACAATGTCACAGTTACAATTCAGGATAGCCATCAAGACCTGGCGAGTGTCACTAAGCGCACTGGATTCCGCACGATCTTCCTCAATCGATCAAACATCACCGAAGAGCAATTGGCTCAGGGTATTGCTCCAGGTGCCAATTGGCATTTCGAGGTCAATGGCCGTGAATTCTACGCTAAAGGATCCAATCTCATTCCGCCGGATGCTTTCTGGCCCCGAGTTACCAAGGCCAAGATGCAGCGACTGTTTGATGCGGTTGTCGCCGGAAATCAGAATATGCTTCGAGTCTGGGCTTCTGGTGCTTACCTTCCGGACTTCATGTACGATCTTGCCGATGAGCGCGGTGTATTGCTATGGAGTGAGTTCCAATTCAGCGACGCTCTCTATCCGACAGATCAACCGTTCTTGGACAATGTCGCGGCTGAAGTTGTCTACAATGTGCGACGCGTCAATCATCATCCCTCGCTTGCGTTGTGGGCTGGTGGAAATGAGATCGAAAGCTTGGAATTACCCGAAGCCGAGGAAAAGGCACCCGAACAATACGCCGACTATGTGGGTGACTACGAGCATCTCTTCATCACATTAATCCTTCCCCTGGTTTACGAGAACTCACGATCAATCTCATACATGCCCAGCAGTACCAACAATGGTTTCCTGGAAGTTGACCTCTCCGCGAAAATCCCTATGGTTGAGCGCTACAAGAATGGCACAGACGCCAAGGGATATTACTACGGAGATACTGACTATTACAACTACGACAGCAGTGTAGCCTTCGACTTCGACGGCTACCCAGTGGGAAGATTCGCCAACGAATTCGGCTACCACAGCATGCCCAGTCTACAAACCTGGCAGCAAGCCGTAGACGACGAAGACCTCCATTTCAACAGCAGCACGATCATGCTCCGAAACCACCACTATCCTGCAAATGGTCCCGATACCCACAACTACAAGAACACATCCATGGGCATGGGAGAAATGACCCTAGCAGTGCAGAGATACTACCCAACCCCCAACGAGCACGACTCCATCGCCAACTTCAGTGCATGGTGTCATGCAACACAGCATTTCCAGGCAGATATGTACAAGTCCGAAATCCAATTTTACCGTCGCGGTAGTGGAATGCCAGAACGCCAGCTCGGCTCTCTGTATTGGCAGCTAGAGGATATCTGGCAGGCACCGACATGGGCCGGGATCGAGTACGACGGCCGCTGGAAGGTGCTTCACTATGTTGCTCGTGACATCTTCCAACCTGTCATCGTATCTCCTTTCTGGAACTCTTCTACCGGTGATTTGGATATCTATGTTACATCGGACC